GCTCGCGGTAGCAAATTGAAGATATTTACCTTCGAGTAGAAACATGTGTGAAAACATTTCTGGTTTGCGACGCGATTTTTTCGCATCGCGTCTGAGATCTCTTGTTCTCGGCGTTAAAAATTGCGGGGTGTTTTTTGATTGAGTTGTTAACATGATACGAAACAAATGGACTGATGCGGGAGCTTTAAAACTGTACGTGACGATGTTGTCCGTATTCGGGGGTAGAACATTTTCGACGGATTGAAACAGACGAGATTTGACATGACTCGTAGGAAAATGTGAAACCATAATCGACGGTGACGACGATGGGGCAGGACTGGTGCACGCGTAGACGTAAGCGTTTGAGCAATTGTTGCTGCCCATGCGGACCACGTGTTCATCCCTCAAATAGGTTAGTGAGCTACCAGACATCAGGTATTAATGTAGCAAGCGTGCTTCCTGGGTATTCGTGATTAGAGTAGTTTACGGATATTTTTGGCGCCAAACACGAACTCTGATGTGCAATTTAAATGAGCCGCTCGGCGGAGGAGTGATATAAGTCACGGTCTTTCTCGCTTTCGGCAAATAAAAGAGTTTATGGCACTTACAATTTGATTCTAAAAGCGTAGAAATCGTGCCGATTGCGTGACAGTCGCCTAGCATTAGATTTCTGTCGCACTAACAAAGCTATAAGTTTCGCCGCTCGATAAAATCAACGAAGCGAGATGCACGAAGGTGATAATTTTGAAAAGCTTCCCTCTAGAAGAAACGCGATATCGTTGATTTTATAGTGGTTTTTTTTTTGCCAATATTCTATGAGAAACTTCGTGAAAAGCGGAATGTAATTTATTTTACTTGCATAAACCATCTGTTAGATCGACATTTTTTAAATAAAAATAATTATTCGAATCTATGGTTTTATAAATTGTCATTAGAGAATGAACAAGATGAGCGATTGTTCCTGACGAAAAAGAATTTTAAAATATCAAGGTTATCGAGTAAATCGAATGACGTAAGTGCTTGGTTGCTGAGCGACGAAAATTCATAAATATCTGAGATGTTGGCGAGCTAAGTAGCAGAGAATATCTCGCATAAATTTGCGAGCATATTTTTTATCCAAACTGATAAAAATTTCGAATTACTATTCTACTTTTATCTTTGTTGAAACTGTACATTTGAGCTACGCTCATCGTAAATTATGTCTTATTTATTGTAACTTGCAAACTAAAGGGGCTGTTAAGTTGTGCAAACTCTTATCTACTTTTTATATTCACAATTGCTGGCAGCATTGCGTATACATTGCAGCAGAAAAAGCGTGTCAAAGGTCAATATCATTTGCCAGTGCTACAATCAGAAACGTAATGTATCGAGAGAATGCACAACAACGATGATGCTCCTTTGCGTATTGTTACGTGAGCGAACTGCGAAAATGCAGTTCGACGATTTTCCCTCTTTGCATCATATCGGGGAGGGGAGGAAGCAATTTGAAATTCTTTTAATTACAATGAACTGGCCCGTATACACATCTGTTTAAATAAATGCCCGCGCAAGAATCACGATTTTAGTGAAGTTATTCCATTAACGTTAATTGCGTTCTCTCTCTTGTGAAAGAACGGAAACTATTTGCACAACCGTTATTCACATTTTTTCCTTTCGTCTCTCAATTTTTCGCAGGAGTCTCTCTATAGTTTTTTGAAGCAAGTATCTCCGGTGCTTTTGTATCGTTAAAAAAAAACTTGCAATACGTAAGAGAAACGTTTTTTAATTTATTAATATTCGTCGAAGCAGCGTCAAACGTCAGAAATCTGCAGAAAGATATATTCCAGCGCACTACGCATTGTTGCGTGTCGGCCTTGCACATTTCTCGTTTATTCAGTGATCGCGTGACGTTGTGTGGGTCGCAGAAGACATACTTAATTTTTTTTCCTGTTTTTCTCTTCCTCTCAGTTGTTGAAAATTTCTCTTAGATCAAATATCGCTCCACTCATTCACTCGGCTGCCGGCTCTTTGCTCGCCCGCTGCATAGCAATGCAGCGTATGCAATTTCCATTTCCGCGTCGCCGGCGCTGTAGGAGCAGTGGATGGCATTGAAAGAAAGTCAGTTTGACTCTAAAGGTCTCGGCGGCGCGACCCGGGCTCCTACGAAATGTTAACGCCAACATTAAACGCCGCTGCACGTAACGCGTGACGGTTGAGCACGGCAAGCGCGCGCGCGAGAATTTCGCAAACACGCGAAACTGTTGGCGCACGTCAGACCCGAACACGTTACATTTTGTCCTCCATCCGGCATTTCGTCCGGACACAAGAGAGAGAGATCGAGCGAGAGAGAGCAAATGCGAAATTAGGTCGACTTGATTGCGCGATAATTGAGAATGCGATTAAGTGGGGTAAACGAACAATCGGCCGGCTAGACGATGCACCGCTGAATTTTCGATTGTTATGAAATGAGAGTGTACAATATATCTGACAGTAGTCTTACAGCTATGCAATAGTAGTAGCCAGCAATTGTGTTGTAACATAAATACTATACTATATAATGCTAGGAAAAACTTCAAGGAAAATAATTTTATTCTTCTTTATTTAATTTTATTCAATTTTATTATTCTTTTTATTCAAAGACACTAAACATTCTTTTTATAATTTTTAATATATATCATTCTAAAATTTTAATTAGTTTTTTCTAATTTATAATATCTTGTGTTTAATTCAATGTTAAATTCCATTTCAAATTAAATTAAATAATAAAATTAATAATAAAAAAATAATAAAAGAAGGTATTATTAATATATATATAATATATTTTTTTTATTTCGTAAAAAATTCGACAAAAATATAATGACTTTTTGAAGTAAAATTACAAAAAATGTGCTTTTTATTTATTTCTCTTGAATAGTAATTGAATAGATGTTGTGATAAAACTAATAGTAGCGCTGAAGTGAAGCGAACAGGTAGCTGAGTAGTCGCGTTAAAACTCCTTGTAGGTCGAATTCAATCGTTGTATAATAATGCTCGTGCGTTGCTGTGTAACGCAGTTGCGAATGACGTTCCGTTCCGTGCCTACGACAAACCGAAGGGTATTATTATAAATGTAACTGAACGCAGTGACAGTTATATCGCGCGAAACCATACGCGAAAGTTGACACGGTCGGCTCTTTCGCCTACACTCGAAGCTCTCATTAAGGGATATTCAATTACAACTGTTTCACATTGTTTGTCTAAAGATGTACACGCGCAGCGATACGACAGGAATAGGGCTGTCCTGATTTTGCAGTATAATTGAAAGTCAGATTATGCAGGCGGGTGGATGTACAATCAAATAGCTTAGATGTTGCTTTCAAAGTTACTCGCGTTCTCGGGTTCGTCTTGAGCACAATTTAATTATTATGCGACGCGATAACGTGTTTTGCCGAGTCGTAACTCGCGCACGCGGAATATTGTCGCGAGAAGTAGCAATAGTTAACAAAAATTATAATTATACAGATTTGTCGACAAGACATATCAGTGTATAAATTTTTTATCAGTGTGAAAATGTATACTAAACATAATTGAAAGAGAAACTATGTTCTTGATGAAAATAAAATAAGATGATCGATTTAATCGTTGTTACTTCCGATGTATTCGGAAAGATCAGAATCCTTTTTCTTAAACTTTATAGTGCGTCTCAAGTTAGATAGTTTTGCAAACATCAAGTTTGTCGATTTTTCCAAGCGAAGATCCGGAGATTCTTTTTATTTACTCTTGAGTTATAAGCGTTCAATGATTAGATCTTCAACGAATTGATAGATTAAAGGATTTATGATATCGTCTGAATTCTGAAAAAACCTGACAGCGTCAGATAAATGGAAGGAACATTATTATGGCATCGATTTTTTAATTTTTGCTGATTGCTCATTGTCACTTGTGATTGAAATTCTATATAACAAGAGAAAGCGGGGGCTGTTGTTTACGCGTTATAATTTGCGAATTCGCGAGACGATTCCATGCTACTCCGGCGCGGCCAATAATGATTCGAGAATTTCCTGATGGCCTGATCAGTCCTTCGTACCACTGCTAAAATGATCGGGCGAAATATCGGCGGGTTATCAGGAATTTAATTAATATAGACCACGACGGTGCGGTGGTTATTAGTGATATTTCCTTCTTCACAAAGCGGCCCCTTCTTCGTCTCCTTTCCATCGCCGTTCTATCCTGCCTTTCCCACGAGTGCCGCTGATCGATGTCGTGGCGGTGGAGGCTGGCTGGCTGGGCTGGTGACGTAATCGGCAACCTCCGCCCCCAAGCTCTGACGTCACTGATGCCCTCAAATGCGCGTGGTCAGGTGCGTATCAGCGAGAATCTCCATCTCTCTCCGTCCCTCGCCCTTCTCCGTACTTTAAAGGCACTTCAGCCGATGGCCGCAACGCCGACATCAACATGCATATGTTTAGAAAAATGGAACAACGTTGTGTAAATCCTTACTGAAGGCGGATTAAATTCCAGACTGAAGAAAAGGTAGCTAAGATTGAAGCTGTAGAAAAGGGAGATTACGGATAAATCCCTGAAATTATGCTTCCTCGTCTTTAGTATTGACTTGTAGTATATTTTGAATTATTTCTTTCTTATCGTATTTCTATATGGAATTATTATATCTGTTTCACATAAGATGATCATTTATAACTATAGAATTATATTGCATGTTCTAAAATGAACAAAATGTTTCAATAAACTGTTTTCGAAACGCTTTCTCTTTCAGTTATAATTAATTTTAAAAATGTGGAAATAAATGATAAGTTCTTATTTTTTATTAAATAAACTTTAATCGAATTTTAATCCAATGCTTAATTTTTCAATTATTTGTTGTTGAAAATTTGAAAAATATAAATGATAACAATCAATTGAATTGTCAGTGGAAAAGATTGATTAAAACGTTTATAAATTGATTAAAACGTTTATAAATGAAATTTATAGTAACATCATATTTACGAATAATACTAGAGGAAAATTTTACTTCTGAAGTTTATGTTTATTTACAGCATGTTGTGGAGTCATAACGTTATACTTTGCGCAATTTACAATACTGATTAGATGCGCTCGCAGTTTTTCCCAAGAATTACATTAAATATGCAAAAAGTTGCACCAACTGTGTTTTGTGCAAGTTATTTAAAAAAATTTTAACTTGCAATCTAAAAGTAAAGTTGAATTTAAATGCGCCTTCGATCATTGCCACGCAGAAATTAGCGCTGCAAAAATACGTTAAAAAAGTATCCAGAGTTTTATTTATAATTGGAGCAAATTTTTCAGTTTTGAAAGCGGATTTTCTGGAAAACAAAATGTCATATAAAAACATTTTATTTCAAAACTTTAATTTATTGTCGTGAAAAATCGCTTTATATTTGACTACGATTTTCACAGCATTCTGTATAAAAATCGTCCAATTAATGGACACTCGTGTACGCACATCGAACCAATAACCTAAAGAACTAATTTGTAAAGAACACGGTAGCAGTTACTGCAGTCGATGATGCGACGATTGGTGATTAAATCCAGACTTGCCGTTTTACTCAGCGAACTAGTTTTCTTCCTCTCTGGACACATCTCCAAAGAATTCTCAAGACAGCCTCATCCTCGGCATTTCATGTAGTCGAAGTTGGCGCTGGTCCATTGTTTAGTTGAAGGGCGGTTTCTCCGCACGAGGACTTTCATCGATTTCCTTTTTCTCCTCCGTTCGTTCGTGCTGCTCGCCAAGATTAAGAATTTCCTTTCTACAACCGCGCCGTAAGCATTTATGAGCTTAAGACTTCTCGTATAGCCGATCTGCAATTGTATGCGTTGAAAATTCGCATTTGAAATTACGTACAATTACGTATATAATTCTATATCTTCATATCTGATTAAAATTTACCTGCAATATTTTTTTTATCTGACAATTTGCTGCTGTTGTAATAATTTACATATACTAATAATTATTAATATATAATTTACATTAATCATACTTTAGAAAAGATTTTCTCTTTCATGCTGAAAGAAAGCGCTATCGCGTGGATTAGATATTTAATTTTTTGAAGTGATGCAAGGCGATCATTCAGTCGCCGCCAGACGGCTTGCAGTAGAACAGGCACGTACGTGACTAGGCAAGTGAAACTGGTCGATCAGTATCCGGCTGCTGGCAACCTTCTTTATCGATAGTCACTGTTTCTGCCGTATAATTTTATCGGAAAGACTGAAATGCGTCCAAAGAGAACGAGAGGCATTCAATCTTTCGATATTAATTTATCTGCAGTTAAATGAATGTAATTAATTAATATATCAGTTAAATATTTTATTTATGTTTTTTATATTAATTATTTTTCAAATAAGAATTTCGAAAAGAATTCTGTTCTGCATATTTTTTATCAAAAATAATTATGTTATTCGTTTCGTGCTGTATAGAATAAAAAATTTTTTACGGTTTTTATTCGGAAAACATTTATAGTTTTGTTAGAATAATATTACAAAAATGATTTTTATTTTAGCCATTAATGCCTATAAATTTATTATTATTTGGTTATATTGGCTCTTTTTAAATAACGATCATACGGAATTTATGATGACAAACCTCTAGAGAGAATTGTTGAATATTCAACTGGATCTTTTTCAGCGCTGCTTGATTTATTTTATACAGCTTGTTACGTACCTATTAAGCCATATCATTTTATACGTGCTCTGCTCCAACAAGCAAAAAAGAACATTTATCTCTTTCACAATTTTTTTGAGGAATATACACAACATATTTAAAAAGAGCGGAATTGTAGAAATTAGATGAAGAAAATTAAAATTTTTCCCTTATAAATTTTTAAAATGTAAATTGTAATATTAAAAATTAGGATTCTTTAAGCTACGATATTAAAAGATAATTACTTATAGAAAAGTTAGAAAAAATTATTAACAAAATAGATAATTACTAATTTATAATTTGTGATTATGTATTATGGAAAGCTTAGCACTCGCTCTAATTTTGCATCGTATACTTTAATGTGATGCGTATTTTTACGCACGTGTCGTGTGACGTAAAACGGCTATTGACCTACTTGGAATGATTTTCGACGCTCCATCTTAAGTTCATCCATCTATATGGAAATGATAATCCGATAATAATTCTTAATGTAAAGCTTATTAGATAGGCATAACCATCGCAGAACTTTGTTATTTGATAGCATTTTGTATGCAATATTAATTTATGGTTGATAAATGTTATAATAATCTTATAAGTCAATATATATATGCTAAGAAATTATAATTTTAAGAAGTATCGAAATTATTTTAGAGAAGATAATCAATTTGATATGACAATTAAAGAATTACAATATATTCGTACATAATATACACTCTTTCTAAAATTGATTTTTTTTTAATAATTTAAATCTTTTTAATCATAATTTTCCAATTAATTTTGTAATTAAAATATATATTTTTTAGAAAATGTATTTTTTTGTACAATTTATAAATTTTGGATGACTATGATATACGTTGAAATATGCAAAGACAAAACATTAAATATACGTTATATTAAAATAAATAAGCATAGTTTACTAACAATTTCATTCCTTTTTCTGTTACAGGTAAGTCCAAGTGATGTTGTTGCAAATTTGGTCAATCATGTTGCAAGGTTGTGTATCTCGAGTTTACGTAAGTTATATGCATTACACGAGAAGAAGTATTCTGCGGTTCATCGATATATATGCGTTGTTTCCATTTTATGCATATATACAAACATTGTTGCATTTCTGCATAACAGGATATCAGCACTTAAGTTTATACTAATAGTAACAGCTACTACGTGCTGTCGGAGGAAATTACAATTTTATTATCCTGGATTCATTCCAATTCTGCCTGCTTTTATACCTGTTTAAACAAATCTAACGTTATATATAGGTACATACATTCAATATATGTGAGCTATGCAGATTTTTGTGGCGAGTTATATAAAAATCCATAAATTTAATTTTTTCTTTTTCATAAAAACCTATTAAATTTAAATTTTTTAAATTTTTATAAAAATCTGTCGCTGTCATTGAATATCGCAATTGTTTCGGGAAAGTAAAAAGTGATGAAGAAGCGATAATCACTCTATCGATATTTATATATCATATAACATATAAACTATAGGAAAAGCATTGATTATTTCTATTTACTTCAGGAATTATTAAACGCAATATCGGACAATGGGAGATTTGCAAGAAAAATATGGTTCTAGCGCGAGGGTCACGGTAAAATCTCAATATCGTACGATGCTCCCGCGCCCGCGTCCACTTCGGAGGTAATAAAAGTTCGTGCGTCGGCGGTGAGTGCGCGAATGTTTGCCAAACTATCGTCGAGCGCGATCAAATCTGATTTGTACATACACACAACGCGTCGGATCGTATTCGTGTACGCGCACACACCTATGCCGGTAACACGTAGCAACACGAGATATCGCATATATAGTACAAGGGGACACGACGCAGGAATTGACTCGCACGCGAGAAAACCTGTGATATGAAAACGTTTACACGTTAAGGTGTGAAGATCCCTCAGCTATTTGCTCTGTCACCCTCGACGATATTCTAATCGAATTAGAGTCCTAGGCGGCCATCTTCTACGGACATCGTCAAGGAATTTAGCGGGTCTTCTAAGTAGAATAGCAGATCGTTACGTAAAACTGAACGCTCAATTTGCGGTATCTGGCCGTCCGCTATTACGAACGTTATTTCACGTTTATTTTCACGTCTGCGGTCGATTTGTTGAACAAGCGGAGAACAGGCGTTTGCTCAGTGATCTTTTGTGTGATTAGTATATTTGTGCCTATATGGTACTGCATGGTACTACAAATATACTAATGGCATTGTTTCAAACCGAGATTTCTAGAGAAGCAGATTATTTCTAACGCATTATTTTGGTACATATATATATATTTATATATGTTGATTTTGTCGTTTTGTACGACAAAAACAATAATTTGAGTGGCATTAAACCGGTGTCAAATCAACACCACTGAAAGTGTAAACGACGCGCGCTACTCCGCGCTACGCGCGATATGCCGTGCCAAATCCACGTGTTGCGCGAAAATGCTCTAAAATCGTCCTAGATACGTTTACTCATCGAGATATATTTGGCGCAGCCACAAATGTTCAGTACGTGATAAATTTTGCGGACGTTGCATTTTATGGATTCTCATTAATCTCGCTGCGACGCTATTTCCAAGTTCTTCTTTAACAGTTCAAACATGTTTAACACATTGCACGATCTGCAAACGTAACAAGTATGCAATTTCTGTATTACTCAATACGTGTCATACGCGCAACTATTTCTGCACGCTACTCCGCCTACAACTTTGACGTATGGGAAATGAACGAACTAATTAACTAGTTCAATTTTACAAAATTGATGTCGAAGTAACGAAACAATAATAATTTTTCTCGAGATGCGTAAACTATTTCTAAATACATTTTACTTTTTAAGTAAAAATTTGAGGTTTACAGACTTTGAGTTTGAGACTTGTACAGAGGAATTTAATTTAAAGCTTCATTGTCAAGATATTTAATGCTGCAAACATTAGAGAATAGAACTTAATTAAATTTTCTCTACAAAAATTTAAAAAGAATCCCGCAGAGGCAAAAAATAATATCGACATATGAAACTTCAAAACGCCAAACTGAAAACTCCACTTTTTGTAAGTTTCCTAATTTTAGTATTAGAGTATTTAATTAATACGAGTATTAACAATTTTCCGTACTTTTTATTTCATGGAGTTTGGCTTTTAAGAGATCAATCACATCTTGTGTGTTTTCTTTCATTTAATTGATCCTTTTATCTTTTTCCAATTAAGTGGCCATTCTATTTATCTTCTGGCCCTAAAGAAAAAATCTCTGACGTATCCACAATACATAATGCGTCTCACGCTGTTTCGCTTATCGCGGCAATTTGCGATTCCATCTTCTCTCTAAGTAACCCTCCAAGTGAAAGTGACCATCACTGGTCAGCCGCAGCGTCGCCGCCGTAATCGGGCGTGTCGAAAGGGGCGATTGTAGATTGCAAATCTGGACGCCATACGCCCACGCTACGCTTGTAGTAAACTCTAGCGTTTAACACACTCTCGAAAGAGTTATCATAAACATCATAACAATCGATCCTCGTTGTTCCGACCGATAACAAACTGACGTCCGACAGTTTCGCTCGAGCAGGCCGCCGCTCCACTTCACGCAACTCGTGCCGGTCGCTCGCGTCACCCTACAAACGTGACGTAATTGAATCGAGGGGATTGCTTGATTTTGACAGCGCCATAAAAAAGCAATTTTGTTGAAGACGGTTTTAAGGCAGCTTAGTGACAGCACAGTTTTTACGATTTCGGCAAATTATTTTCGCGAGGTGCTGTGGCACGGACGTAACGAAGAGATTTTGCGCGTCACGAGTGATGAATTAGTCGCTTTTGAAAAATCTAAGTCGGGAAAAATGAAGGTTTCGATGACACTCCGCCGTTGTGCAAAATGTACCGCGTACTCGCAATCAGTGTGAACAACGATACAGATTCTTTTTTGTGTGCAACGCTAAAGATAGTTTTCAATCAGTTATTGTTAGAAAGGACGCTGCGTTTCTATACCAGTTAGACCTATGACCTATCTAGATAAGAGGACTTCTGTCGAACAACAAAGTGGAATTATGTATTTGAATTGCAACGCGGCTGTTACAATGACCGTCTCGGAGCGATTCCGAACTTCGTCGCTGTAAAGTGAGATCTGTTCTCAAATGTGCTTTGGCATTGAAAGCGACGATTAAAGCAGCTAAAAAGCAAGATACTGACATCATAGATTGCTCCAATTAATTAACACGAAAATTATTAACTTAGCGTATTACATATTTTATTATGTTTAGGCTTTTACCAGAATTATTTGAATTATTCTGCTTGATTAATTGGAACGTAAACAATTAGAAATTTTTGAAGTGTTTGATTTCACCTTCAGCCAGAGTAATCAAAGCTCACCATTAATGCCACAGTTGTCAGCGCCGTTCCGCCGCATCGACCTTGTCGATGTTGACCTGTCTATCGAGACTCGTTGTGTCAGGAAACCGTAGCCGTGTCATTATGCGATCAAGCGTAAACTGATCGATGCCAAGATGCGAAAGCGCCGTTTACACGCGCGCCTAGTACACTTGCTATCATTTTCTCAACGACGCGACACGTGGTCGCGTCATGACGATGAGCGAGAAGTAGGGATAAATACGCCAGCGAGGCATTAATTTACTCGCCGTGGCTTTTTCTCGTACTTGTATATGCAATACGAAGTGCATGACGGTGCTGCTGTCGAGAATGCGCGCGCGGCGCGGCGCGGCGTCGCGTTGCGAGTCGCGCGCGCCGGTGCGTTCGTCGCGTGACCACGAAGCGCGCTCAGCCAACTTTAGTTGGCGTTGACTCATGTGGACGTGCGGCGGTGTGTCCGAAGTTATACTCTAATTATGTGTTAACGATACGCGTCTCGCCGTTTTTCCGCTCGATCCGCGCGTCCAGCTTGAATCGCACGACGATTGTATGCTAATTGATCGGTCACGCCGGTTAATTATGTCCGCTGTGCTTCTATCAATCAGCCGTTCGTTAAGCTACTCGCGTCTCGTTGGGATTCAGGTAGCTCCGTCAAGGACAAAAACTGGTTTCCACGAATGCAATTTTCAATTCCCATTCCCCATTAGCATTATAGTACGCAACGGTACGCGATCATTGATTATTTTCAGGACTATGTTGTGAAATAAACTGTTGCGCGTTTTTATAATTTTGTTCGGCAATTATTCAATTTTTTTATGTGCGTGCTATCAGAATTTAACATTAATTTATCGAAACATCGATGTGAATAATGTATTCTCTCGATAAATACACGATTGTTTTGTCGATTGTGTAGTGGAGATTTTTTTTTACTTAAAATAAAAACGGTATTATATCCACCAAAAAACAATTTGATGAAATAATAATTTAATTTAGTAGAAAAATTTAAAAATGCATTTAAAAATCTAAAAAGAGGAAAACGTTGTTATTTTATTGAAAAAAACTTTACATTCACAAGATTGCAAAACGTAAAAAACTCCTTTCGAAAATATTTACATAGTCAATTGTGACACACGAATATTTTCCTTGAAATCACGCAGCAATAAAACGTGTACGCTCCATTTTTATCAGGGCGTATCATTTTCACGGCGAGATCGACTTCATTTCCTATGTCGCATCGTGTATATGCATGCAACCGCGTAAATAATTTAAGCATAGCTATAGCATCGGTAACAAGGTTTCCAGTTTTGCCGTCTCCAATTTCTCGAGACTACGTTTTCTGCGCGATACTTTCTACGTATAAAGTTGCGAGTCACTCAAATAGCAAAGCCTTGCGCTGTCTCATTAATTCACTTTTGCTTATATCTCAACAACAAATCATCACTCATATGTAAATGACGATCAAACTTGGCACATTTTCTAGAAATCGGAAAAAAATGTCAACAGAAGCTAGCTATGTATAATTAAAATTAACTAAGATCTGTATGGATAAAAATAAATTAAAATCAGCATCGATTATTGCGCAGCTATTGAATAATGTGTTAATCTGATTAAAATTTATTAGAAATGTCTTTTATCATTTTGCATATCAATTATGATATGCTTATCATAATAATTAAACGTTTTTTTTTTTATTACACTATTGTTTCGTTATCGCTTATAACGCTAATTTGTCGGGGCGTGCAAAGAAGTCCGGCATGCCTCTCGGGTGCTATTACATCGTTTTATCAACGGATCATTAAGTACATTGAAGATTCAGCGTTGTTATCCAAGTGCTTATTTCATTGACGGTCGGTGACGCATAGAAATCAACGCCGAATATGTGAGAAAGACTGTAATCTCGGGGGAAGTGAGAGTGCGAGTATTTTTCTCTTTGTGCGGATCTTATTTTCTTATTTAATTCATTTAATGTTTATTTTAATAATGACGATTTTCGCGATGTTATATATCGATTTGTTTCAAGTCAACGCAAAATCATTCGTGCGAACATGTTTCCATGAATTTTTTCTTTCGCGTCCGGAAATATCTGCTCAGTACAATCTTCGTGCTATTGTCACGTGTGTATCGTGCATCGCAATTGTTCATGCAATACATGAAAAATTTCACGGATATAATTTTTTCGCCGTGCAACGTTTCGAGACGGGTAATCGTTCCGCGATCGGTCGAAGTACTTGTTGAGTCGCAGTCGAGAGATGCAATTTTCCTAATGGATTTTATCGACTTCCCCGGCATAGCCCGCAACTTGATATTTTCCAGCCAGGCATACGTTTTTGTTTCATTGTACCGATTTCAGTACGACTCTGAATATGCTTGCGCCGAGATCCGCAGAAACAAAGGCTCGCGGTTCCATCGCAGCTCCTTGCTCAGAAAACTTGCTTTAATCTCCTGATCTCGGGTTTGTCTCGGTTGCCATTATTTCTTTCTCGACGAAGAACATATATTAATGATATAAATTCAAGAACAGAAATTTATAGATCGCGTTATTAAAAATGTTTCAGTGTATTGTGACAAAATTGGATAAAACATATCCAATATTGATATTAATTTCACTATTGCTTCTCTTTTGGCACTTAAAATGCGCTTAGCTTTGCTTGAGCACTGTATACTTGAGCAATGACGTCATCTGTCTACGGCACGAGTCATGGTCGGTCGCAGTTAAACAAAGAATCGCTACCAGCCGAGGTTAATTACTTTGCTTTTAGCCGACTTTCTGTTAAACATCAAAGCCATCGTCATTACAAAGGCATCGTGTTACATTTAACTTTCCTTACTTTTAATTTCGTCGCAATGTGTCTTCATAACTGACATCGCGGAAATCGTTTTCTTTGCAAATTTGAATATAAATAATGCCACGCTTATGTTTATTAATGATATTTGGATTATGTAGGAGTGACAATGAATAACAATTACTGTCGCGTGACGAAACGAGTGTATCGTTCAAAATTATTAACGCCAGTATATCTGACAGAGATTTATTACAATAGAAAATTACACTACGTACATTCCAATTATATATTCAATATCTTGCGTTTGTCGTGAAAGAAGTTCCGCGCGTCATTAAGAATATAGAGTTTATCAAAAGAAAACATATAACGTCGCTCCGTATCTCACAGACGATAAAACAATCTATTAACGAACCATTAAACCTTCGAGCACGTTGGGCATTATAAATTTAAATGCTAAGAATTGAGGACGGAAAACGACAAGAGATTCGTTTACGTTTATGGCGCAAGAGAAATATACGTCGTTCGTGCGGTAAATTTGCACTGGGAGATTTAATTATTAATTTACGATGAAAATTATTTAACATGAACCGACAAGTTTTGTGTTATGTGCGAAGACGTAAAGTGAGACGGATTTAAATGACATAATTTTAACCAGCACGAATTATATTTTCATAAATTTCAGCTTGCCAAGTATTCTAATTAACCGTGCTAATAAATTGTCCCATATACACGTTTTGATATTTGAAATTTCGTTATATTGGCGTAAAAAGATAAATACAGTTTCAAGGTTGGACATTTAATTTTGCTTCTTTTTATCGCGATTTTACCTTGCCGACGCTGTGCTCTTATTCGTACGTGTTTCGTTAGCACAATAATAGCACAAAAGAAATGTCACGAACGACGACATTTCTATTGTGTTCGCCAATACAACGTGGGCACATGTATTGACTATTCCGTGCTTATCATTTGGAGAAATACTTTCTACCAAAAAAACAGATTATTTTTAATCACAGAATCAAGAGTTTCTTCTCCTCTATTGACTCTTATTTGCATCGTAAGTATTTACGTCGCCGAATGTTCTACATAAAAATATAAAAGATTACCTTGTCACGTTCAATCGGTGACGCTTCAGCGCGATTATTCACGTGGCATCCACGTCTTCGCGATTTTTCAAAGATGATCACTCTCGCACGTCATCCTACGCACGGATTTCCGTCCGCAGCTTGTCACATCGCTGTGGACAGCTTTCGAACAATAAATATTGTTTCTGGATGATATTGGCTGACTCTTATAACAAGTAGCACGCGGATCAATTTAAATGACATCGGATTATTGCGTTGTCAGCTTTGTTCAACATTCACATGTGATAGTTTCTCGTGGATTGTAAAGCTCACCGGCGTGGCCTATTTCTTGTCGTGCGCGGTTTTCATCTTGGTTGGACACATAACACGTTTCAAAGCAGCATTTTCATTCTGATTTATAATATAGAAAATAACTCTGACAAAGTTATTATTGGAGAATGTAGATCAAATATTTCTCAGTCGTTGTGATTCGCAATAGAAAAATTGTTAATATTTTATCCAGTAATATATTTACACGTGTATGATTTTTTTACTATATTTTTAATTTAAATTTATGCTCACAAACTACGTTTTCAAGTAAATGCACGAGCTTAAACTTGGCACAAATACTATTTAAACAAAATTTATTTAACGTAGAGAAAATAAATATTAATTTTCCAACGCCAAGAGAAAATTGCAAGATACAGGAAAAGACTGATGAGCCGGTTTTTATTATATTTATCTCTTTGTTTTAACATGTTTATCATGACTCTTTGAAAGCCGTTGTTCGAGCGGCTAATTAAAACTCGACCGTGATTTTAAATACTTGGCTCACGTTGACAATCTCTGTCTTAATTGAGTGAATTCTAATTATACCTGTCCATCAACTAATATCGAGATAGCTTTTATGTTCTTTTGCATTTTTTTTTGCATTTACCATCATTTTTGCATATATATATTACGCTGGAATGAAACAAATACAGATTTTCCGTAGTTGTTTTATTAGAATTGCTTTGAACATATGATTTCATATTTCAATTATCGATACCGTATAAACAGAAATAATAAACAAGTTTGAACATGAGAAAAAAAGTAGAAAGCGCAAACTATTTTTAGTTCTCGAGTCGTTGTGTTCTACGATTTCCAAGTATCGAGAAGTTCTTAAAGGAGACCCCGAAATCCCCAAGGAAATCTGTAAGTTCATTTAAGATGGACGGCACATACGTGATGCATTCGGAAAACTCCATCGGTACGAGTTTGATGCATCTCATGGACGGGAAGTTTCAGTAACGTACAGATTGCGGAGAGGATAACTTTATTCTGTCATCTGTTGCGATACAGTCGAATGAAATCGTCATGGCTTCGTGCCACAGGAT